TCATGGAAAGGACCAAGAATTCTTATTACAGACATTATGCTAACACTCACACTATTTAGAATAACAATGCTGCCACAGAATCAGCATATTGCCCAGCAGAAGGATGAAATGGGCTCTAAAGAGGTTTAGGGAATCTGCATTTCCCTTTTGTCATGCTGATTTTCACTTGAGTAACTCTTTTGTAGCAAGATTGAGTTTGATGCCTCTCTGAACTTTCTACCCTGAACTACCACGATCTGCCAGCAGGACAAACCTTGTGGTATATATCATTACTACATTACAACTTCAGAGTTTTTATAACAAAATACACTACATATAGATAATTTCTGACCATCCTATATTTTGAATAATGCTACAGGATGACTGAAAGGGTGGGTCACAGAATATACCAAAAGATGACAGAAACTAAAGCCAGTGGTTTAGTTTCCCCTGTGTTAGATTTCAGGTACAGGACTGCCAAATTCACTTTTAGCTACTTTTTTCATTATAGCATGTTTGTAATTTCACAGTCAAAAAATCACCTCCTTCAAAGCAGCCACTGTTTCCCATTGTTGTCAGTGCCAAGAACTCCATCATTGCTTCAGCAAGGATGCATACCCCTTATCCTCAAGAGGCCAACATACCAAAATCCATTTGACTATCCTATATTTGAAGTAGAAATTCAAGCTGAGATTCCCTCAGTTTATTTCCTGATTGCTCAGTTCATTTCCTTATTGCTTGTAAATGATTCTCAGCTGATGTGCAGGCTCAGTAAATACCAGAGAATGCATATCAGAGAAGTCCACCAATGCAACGTGGAGGTGCAAGTATCCCTATTTCACAGTGGGGAAGAATGGGATGCAGAATTTGGCTACATCTCCCAATTTGCAGTACAATTATATGACTAATATCAGCAGGACAAATGTCTTGCTGTCTGTTATTATTAGGGATTTAACATCTCACAAGAAGAAAGCCATATAGCATTTAAAGGAAAATGAACTACAACTATTCTCTTGCTAGCAGTGGAGATGAGCAAAATCAGTGTCCGAAAACAGATTCACTTATTCATCAGTTTCTGCTTCTATACATGTCATCACTGAGAATGATAGCTGCAGAATCTCTCAAAATGTTCACTATTAGTAATGTGGGTGAGTGTGGCCCATGAACTGCACCAGAAAAATTGATTTAAATGAGAGAAATTGCAGGAAGCTGCAAGGAGAAAGAGAAGGAGGATTCCCCTTCCATCTCCCTGGGTCAGATAAAATACTAAATAACAGTTAGGAATAACAAGTAAAAAATACAATTAATAATTTAAAATGTCTCCAAAAAGAGCAAAGATACAATATTTAACTAGTTTTTTAACTTTTTGAGAAATATAATGAGCATATATTTAATTTCTAAATTTGAGACAAAGCAGGTCACTGGGAAAATTTCTAAAAGTCCATTGTAAAATTAATTTTAATGCAAACTACTGATCACACCTATTAGCACGCAGTATCAGCAATGCATTTTCTGCACAATAGCAGCTGCTATAGTAATTTTCCAAAAGGTATATTACATTTTTCATTAATAACAAAGACAATGAATTTGTAAGAGTGAAATTCTGATCAGACTCTGGTGCAAAATGTGTCTGCACTAAACATATTATAAATTCATCTATATTTATGTTATCTAATTTATCTCACCTACCGAACCAGACCATTACTCACCATTCCAAAATGTGCTGTCCAGTCTACATAGCTTATGACACTTTAGAAGAAATGAACCCCTGGACTTCACTTGGGAAGATATTTCTATCCTGTTCTACTGTTGTGTGCTATTTCCACTTTCTATGCTACAGGTTTTTGTATTTCCTTCACAGAATTGTAAAACATCCCTCTTTAGTTGTCTTTTACACCTATCAAATGGGTGTTCTTTCTTGCTGAAAGTTGCATTCAAATCTGTTCAGATGTGAACATTGTTGTATAACTCTCATAGTTCTTCATCTCCTTTTTAATCACTCTCTACAAATCCTCCTGGTTTTGTTGCTCTTCTGTGATCTTCATGTAAAATATCTGCATTTTCTACTTAATCAGTTTGTGTGAGTGACATAGGTTTTTTATAATCAGAACCCCAAACAAATAAAACTTCTCTGGGATTCATCAGCAAATAGGATTCTGCTCAACAGTCTCAGAGGAGCGAAACAGTCAACTAGACATGAGAAGTGTTTCAATTTAAAGATAGAGGAAGCACATAGTTGTGGGCAAAGTGTGTGAAAGCCTAAGATTTGCAAACGTTTCCTAAATATATCTAAAAATTGAAGAAAACAGGCTCAGATTCAATTCTCTGTAAATAAACCTACTCCTTCATAATTCTGTTGTCCTATACACTTGTCCAAGGGTAAAATTGGAAGAAAACTGTAGGTACCCAAGAATTTTAGCCCTGAGATATTCAGTTTTATTTTACAAAAATCCCACACCCTAAAAGCTTTGAAGCTTGGGGACTTATACTTTGAACCCAACGGCCACAAAAACATTTACAGTTCCATTACAAAATTGAATCCATCTATGTGTATTCAGTTATTTAATTTAAAGTATAGAGATTGCAAAGTCTTCTTCTTGGACACCACAGTCCGTACATCCCAAACGGCAGGATCAGTCTTATTCGCAGCCAGATAAATTAGGTATATCTTGAGAAGAATTCTCTCTTCAAAACCATTGCACTTCAAACTCACAAAATTATTTGCCCACGTGGAAAGGTGTTGCCCGATAGAATTTAGTTGACTAAAGCTATTTGAGTACTGAATATGCTGTACCAGACTTTTACACTTGCTATTACATACCTCACTATTAACCAAATGTGCAGTTTAAAATTACATTCTTTTTAAAAAGTAAAGACATTGGAACTGCACTAAAATACCCTGCTGAGTAAACAAAAATGAATTTCTGATAATTTGCTAAATTATCATCTTGATTGCTTTTCACATTTATTCCAAGATACAAAACATTCAGATCAGCCCAGATTCCATTTTTAACAGGATAAAAACTTATCTTCATATAGTAAAATGGCTTTTATTCTAAAAGTCTACTTCTTACTTCTAAATCATGTTAAAGTACCTCTCTGCTGCTTACTTGCATTGAATTACCTTTTAAAAAACATTTGTTCAATGCCCAGGTCTTCCAAAGAGAAGCATTTTAAAAATACTTATTACTGAATTTGCTTTCCTATATTCAAACTGAGCATATTTTGAAATGCTGTTGATTCCTGAGCACTCTGTGAAATATTCCTAAATAGACAAGGAAAACGGGGTGACAAAAGCGCAACTTCCCCAGCTATACCTGTTTTAGTGGGATTACTTCAGGCTATGTCTAACCTAGCCTTATGGATTGAAAACTCATTACTGTTTTGAGGCACTAGGTGTACTACTAGAGCACATCTTCAAGTCCAATTTTCTCTGAAAGGAATCTACTTTACATGCTCCATAAAAGAAGACCAAACACAGTAAATTGATGTAATGTTCTCTACAAAACTATAAGTCTAATTTGAACAGAACTTCTAATGTATATATATTCACTAAAGAGTCATGGTTGGATGTTCCATTCATCAACACTGGTAGGAAAGCACTTTTCATGTCTCTGAGTTTCAACTTTTTTTTTTTTAATTTTTTTTTGTTTTTATTGGATTACATGATAACAGTTCTTAATATAGCATTTTTCACCCCGAAGAAAACAGGCTCTGGGAACATTTGTCTAAAAACAGAGTAGACAGGCACTTTCAGGCCCCCAAACTGCTTCAAGACAACAATCACAGTTTTATAGTTCTTGGAAAGGACCACACATTCATGATAGCACTGTTACTGCTACTGAGTTTCCTGCAGGCTATTTGCTTATAGGGACCTATTTTATTTGTTTCAAGTGCAGGACAGCATTCCTGTTTTTCTCTCACCTTACTGTCCTCTGCCTGAGGTATCTTCCCTTTATGCTTATGCTTCAGTTTCAGCAGTTGCTGAACTTCGTATCCTGATTTGGGTGGCCTCAAGGTTAAGTATATGCAACACAAAAGATTTTTGGTGCCCCACCACCACTGCAATAAGCAAACTACATTTCTTCAGCGTAAATGTCAAAAATAGCCTCAAGTATCTGACTTTTACAGAATGCTAAATGTCATACCTGGTATTCTGCTTGTTTTTTAGAGAAACATAGGAGCTATGGGAACATGGAGGAAGAATATTTTCAATTATCATCCCTGTACACACTAGGGGACTGAAATGAAAGGCTGTGAATTTTATTTGTAACTAAGTTATAAATGATGACCTGGGCATTTACTTGAAAAGAAGAACTTTTTGATTGATTTCCCGTTAAGATCTAAACATGTAGAACTACACCCCAGTGATAGTCAGAACAAATGCACAAATAAATAAAGATTCAGGAGTGAGCTGAATATGAGTCAGCAGTGTCCTGGCAGCCAGGAGGGCCAGCCTTGTCCTGAGGTGCATCAGGCACAGCATTGCCAGCTGGTCAAGGGAGGGGATGATCCCACTCTGCTCTGCGTTGGTTCAACCTCACCTTGAATATTGTGTGCAGTTTTGAGCACCTCAGTACAAGAAAGACATTAGGCTATTAGAGAGAACCCAATTTTCAAAGTAACTTTTGTTAAATTCTATTGCCTATATACCTACTATATACCTTCTATATCCTATATACCTACATATAAGAGTATATAAGAGGTATATAAGAGGCCATACATAATCACAGAATTATAGTCCTAACTTGTTTTTAAATATATTAGTTTATACACATATTAACCTCAAAACAAATTAAATAGGTTTCTGAAGGTTTATTCTCTGCACCTTATTCATTTCAGTAACAAGCTAAAACGTTGTATGCAATATATGCCTGCATATTCTATTGAGGCAATCACTTTATGATTACTATCATGTAGAATTGTATTTTACCTCAAGATAGGTGAGCAGAACAAGGGAGCTTTCCTCTGAAATTTTTTCCATAGAAAAAAAAGAAAACAAGTTCAACATTACTACGTACCTTCTTTATCATCATGACGTATGATTGCATCCTGTACCATATCAGCAAGATTAAAACGAACTCGATGATTCTTTCCATGTTTCAGTTTTTTCCCATAGCCCTCCCGTTTCTGGAAAGCCTTTTCTCGTTCGTAGTATGCCTTTATTTGGTCACAGCGCATCCGCTTCACCAGCCGCTGCCGCTGGCCGAGAGGGAGGGATTCCAGCAAGCACTGCTCAATTTCCATCTCATGGGTCCGAAAAACATTACATAGCTGGAAACAGCCTGCAAGAAATTGAAGACAGACAAATCTAGATCATGCTTTCAAAAGTGCCATTAAACCTCCACCAATTATTTTGTTGTTCTAACCATGTCTACGTCTACCATGTGAGCTCCACCTACTTGACCAATGCTGACTATAGAGAGTATATGTCATCGCCATTTACTATTTGAAAACAACACACAACTAATCCCATTAAAACATTGATTTTTTTTTTTAAAAGCTAGCTCAGTTCACGTGAACAAATGTGAATAGAAAGAGTTCTAAAAATTCAAATGTGAGATAGGTAAAGTATCTAAATATTTCAACAAAATTCAAGTAACTCACATTTGCTTACAAACAAGAAACTATTACAAAGAGAAATGCCAGTCTGATGCCCGTGTTTATTTTTTGTTAATTTTCATCTTTCTTTAAGTTGGTAGATTCCTGTATTCGGTGAGAAGAAAAATCTTCATATCATAATTATATTTCATTAGCGTGCAGTGGGTACTTAGGCAACTACTAAAAACATCAAAGTCATTTCAGATTCCTAAGTAATGTCTATTTTTTTTTTTTTTAATTTTTACTGTATAGAGCTTTCAAAATTGATTCTTCTAATGAAACTGTCAGAAACTGAAATCTTTATTTGGAAACCGATCACAAATGTGTCTTTGAATCAGTTATTGCTAACATTCATAGCTTCACCTTTCAGTTAGATTCCTCGTTTGTTGTTACCATTAAATCACAATCATGTTACCACAACATTGCAATAAAACTGATGTTCTTTTCCAGTATGTTCTCTTTTCTACTGAGAGTAAAGATTGTAGCAGACTACATGCTGCTAGGTGCTTTTCAGGGGACTGTTATGTTACAAAAGGAGTCTAGCAGATTGTCAGATAATTTTATTGCCCAAGTCCTTGAATATGAATCCACACCCATTAATGACATGCCCTCTAACCTACCCTAAGACCTTTTGATGTGGTAGCTACACACCACCCAATCACTTCTGATTCTCTTTTTCTACTTCACATGTATAAATTTCCTTCATATGTGGGCTAGGTGCTCAAATTTGTAATCTCTAAGCACTGACCGCTGCCCAGATGAGGGAGGTTTTCTCTTTAGCTTGAGGGAAGGCCTCTTTGAAGGGGATGTAGGCTCAATTCACCTTGAGCAGTCAAGAAATACCAAAATTAAGCATTACTGTGCAACTCTTATTAGGCTTGCTTTTGTCTACCTGTTGTGCTTTGTATGCAGTTACATTATCAAAGGACCCCTTACCTCATTCAGGGCACTACCTGAGTAGTGCTGACTAAACGACCACTTTGTTTTCTCCTTGTTGCTTGACATGTGTTTAATCTACTGAGTACCATTCAAACCCCGCTCTGAAGGCATAATTAATAATTTCATGACAGATTTTTGTAAAGCTCACATCATCACAGCATATAAAAGCTTCACAAATATTTATTTATTTTCATTTAAAAAGAAGGACAAAGGAACATTCTTATCTCTGTTCTCTATAGAGGAACCAGAAGACAATTATTTTCTTTTTAAAGCACTAATTTTAGGCGACCAGTTCAAGAATTATATGTCCTTCTCTTGACATGTTTTGTTTTGCTTTAAAGGTATAGTATTCTATAAACTACTATGATTTAAAAAAAAGTAAGAAAATTTATCAAAGTGATAGTCGTAGGTCTGCATGCCAATCACTCTATAAATTCTATCTATAACTTTATATAATTAACTGCTATATTGTTTGGTATATTATTTTATATTATAAATTTCATGTGACACAAATAATATATAATCTATACTATATATTATATGTATTCACTATGAATTAGAACTCAAGGTCTCAAACCAGACTTCCCATAATTTATCCAAAAAGTGCCCAGAGGGTCTTGCTGGAAACTCTGTGACAGAGGCAGACATAGAATATAATTCTATGGGTCAGGTTCAGTCAGTTTCTTTTAACATAGGCTAACCTCTCCCTATAATTTCTGTTCCTTTCTTAGCATGCCCTTCTAGTTAGAAGAAAACGAGTTGTCAAACCAAAAACTGGAAACAAGTATTGGCTTGCATTAAGCCAAAACACAAACCCTTTCTTCCTGCATGGCACAAGCCATCAACTCCTTCTGTATAAAATAAAATTTTCCATTTGACCTTAAATGATATGTTTTATTTCACAGCAAAAATTATATGTTTTATTTCTTGTATTTCCTAGTTGGAAGAGACATGGAAATGAAAGGATAGCTTCATAAAGCTGCAGAAGATGTAAGTTTATTCCCGGTTTCAATCCCAGTGTTAAGAGCACTTAATCACACAAAAGAGCTGCACTCAGACCATCCTCAGCCTGAAGTAGTTTGCAACTGCATCTTCTTTCTCTCATGACAGGACTAGGGAATAAGCAAACTGCAAATCTTCCCTATTAAAAATGTTCTGCCATGTGCAAAATATTTCAGCAGCCATAGCCACAGAGTTCAACAGTATCCTTGCTGTTCCTCAGCTTAGCTCATGTATAGCCTCTCTCTTAGCAGGAACTGGTAGTTTTCACTGCCACATCACAACTGAGACGGATGCAAACTGTAGGACATCTCTGCCGTCACAGTGCTCTCCACATCCAGGAGATCCCGATGATCAAACAAATTAGCCTAATGTCTTGGTCAAACACAACACAGCAAAGATGAGCTCACACAGCCAGATTCCAGTTTCAGGAAGAATAAGCCTCTTTGTGTGCTCTGCCTCTCCACTGGGATGACTTCAGCCTGTATGAGTGCCCATCTACTTGCTCCATGAAGAACAGTGTTTGACTGCCAGAACTGGCCTCACATAGGACTTTCCAGTGTGCGGCCAGAGTCAAACAATTCAGGCGGATTGACAAAAGACCTCCATCCATTAGGGCACTGTTCTCAGCTGAAAAGTAATGAATTGCAGATGCAGTATCTTCTCTCATCACACCTGGAACCCGATACATCCCAGATGAGATCAGTATCTGACTGTGGATGTAACAGCTGCAGGTCAGTAACTTTGTTAGATTAAGCCTGGATTGAACCACATAGTATAGATGCAGAGATGGCAAACTCCCTGAATTAATCCTTCAGATGCTCATCTCTAAGGCATGCAACATTAAGTCCCAGTTTTAGAACAAGGCAGATCTCTGCTCTGTGTTGGCCTATTGAGCAGGGGGACCAACAATGGCACAAGAGGCAGAGTGCCTTGAGAGAGCTCAACTCAAACCCAGGAGGGTTATAGACATGCACCTGGAGGAAATTCCATGGACCTCTTCATACCACTTGGAGTAGGGGTTTAGTCACCAAAATTGGATCAGATAACCTTGTCTTGTCTAGCAGTCTTGAAAACCTCTATCAATGAATTCTACAAGTTCTCTGGGTAAACTGTTTCAGTGCTGCACTGTCTTCTATCAAAGATGCCTTTTTTTTTTTGGAGGCCATTATCCCTTGTTACTACTGTCACTACTGAGAAGCCTTCAGCTTTGTCATGTCTGTTAGTTATCCTTCTGCTGCCCTCATTCCACTTCCTCAAGGTCCCTCTTACACTGGGAGGGACCAAGACTAAACAGATACTTGCAGGTGCAGCTTCACTAGCCGCATGTAGCAGCAGACAAAGAGCTCCCCTGGACTGCTGGTCATACACCTCCTAGTATACTCCACTATATGGTTTGCATGATTCATCATCAGCTTGTAGCGCTGGCTTCCATTCAACTTTGTGTCTGCTGTAAGCCCTGCAAACTCTTCAGCAGGGTTGCAGCTCAAGTCAGTCAGTTCCCAGTCCATACCAACGCACAGGGTTAGTCTGCCTCAGGCATGAAAATATGCACTTCCCTGTTGAACTACCCAAAGTTACCGTCAACCCAATCCTCAGGATTAAGCTCTACCATCCGAAGTATGCCAACTACTCTGTCCTAACTGAGCACTGCCAACAGCAGCAATAACTTCCACTGTAAAGAAAACCTCCAGGAAAAAAAATAGGTGCTAAAATCCACAACTTTATTTGGCAGATGTAAACTGTTACTGTTTAGAGATTGACAACTCAGCTGCAGTCAGACTCAAAAGCAAAACTATTAGAGAGCCTCTTAAAGGGTAACGTGCGGCAAGTCTGTCCATCTTTCCTTTTCATTATATGAGAAAAACAGCACAAACTGCCATACTGAACTGGAAAAAAACACTGTATGAGACAGATTCAAATATCAGAAGATGTATGAAAAACATGTTCTCAACCAGAGCTGGTTTTCAGTATGCTAGTCAGGAGGCAGGGCAGTAACATGAGGAAAGGTTTGTGGGTAGCGAGAAAGGTTGCCTTCTGAATCAATCTGCATAGGGGTTTATATCTCATGATATAAGATATCATGTTTGAAGATTATTTTATGTGGTTCTTGCCTCAGTGTATGACAAATTACAGTTATCTACAGTGATTCAATAAGGGCACTGCCATTGTCATGGAATATTCCACCAAATAACACACTGGCGGTGTCTCCCATAAAAAAACTGAAAAAACTTAACAAGTTACTATTTATTTAATGAGATGTTCTGGACAAAACCTACTAGAATAAACAAGATTGTTGGTAGATATACACTTTTACGGTCTGCATCTTCTGTACAAGCACATAATACAAAAACCTTCATGAAACACTGAAATATCAAAACCAGAGAATCTTTTATTGTATTGCATTGGTTATTAACTAGTACAGGACAAAGGAAATCATTACCACTGTAACCAACAGGAAAAAAAATGTTTCAAGGATGTTTTAGTGTAGAGCTGCTTCACTGCCTGGGTCCATCTCGGACCACAAGAAAAAGAAAATCATTGCCACAAAACAACCTGTTCATAAAATTGTAGCAATTTACTTACAACTGGACAGAAGCTAACTGCATCACAACACAAATTATGAGCTTAATCCTGTCAGTACAAACACAAGATGTTTGAGTAAAGAGGAAATGTTCACTCTGAATTGTCACCAGTTCTCACTGTGAAGATGAGAGAGGGAATATTTTGAGGCACTACAAGCACC